CAAAATAGTTACAAATATATTAAAAGCTTAACTTTTTAAAAATCTAAACTTCCAGGAGAATGTCTACATATTGAAGCAATGTACCAAAACCACAAAAAAAATTAATATGTTTGACTACATATAAACATGACATTAAAAATCCTCAATGTTTTAAGGCAACAGAAATTGCTGAAAATAATTAATATCTTATACATTATAGTAATCAGTAGCAAATATGTGAATGTCACAATATAAATGAAGGAAGGTACATGAACATTCTCTATAAATGAAAAATAGCCATATGAAATTACATTTAACCTCCTCTCTAACCAAAGAAAAAAATCAAAATAATAATGCGCTATCATTACTTCCTATAAATAACACAATTTAAGTCATTTTAAATACCTGTCATGTTTTTTTCACACTGATTTCAATTCTTTTTCAAAAACTCCTGAATTTTTTAATTTTCCTCAATGAACACTTGTTGCTTTTATAATGACAAAATGGCACTTGAACAAATATATGGGTATATATTTAATGTCTTCTCTGCAAGCATAAGACATGACTAAGAAGAATCCAGGTTTTTAAGTTGATTCTGCTGATTATATTTCCTAATTCCACTATATATCAATGAACAAAAATACTCTTTGTTCCTTGAAAATAAGAATTAACAAAAGCAGAGAATTTCCCGAGTTAATGACATCCTATGGCAATATTTCACTGCCAGGACAGCAGCACACTTAACCATGATAAGGGCTGTTTTGTGGAAAATGCTCTCTGTAAGGTCAACAGCCCGTGTAAGTTTAACTCCATAATTGATCCCTGAGACATTGTCTGAGGTGTTAGGTGAAGTGTTCTAGAATTGTTTAGGGTTCAGCGGAAATGGATTGGCCATAGTAAAAGGAAATTTTAAGATAAATAGGTTATCAAGAAGGATGTATTTTTCTTTCGTGACAAGCATGTAGATTCTATCCATTGATTTCAAAATATTAAATTTCATCTTAGTGTAAGCAATTTTTGAGTTTTTGTGAATAACTCTTAAAATAGAGTCCTCAGAGAAGCAGACGGTGAGCATTGTATAGGCCTCTATTCATTATAACCCAAATTTAATATCAGACAGGCATCACTTTTTATAGGCAGTCTACATATATTATCTGATTAGTCCTTGTAATTACCCTTTGAAGTAGGATCACTGAATTATTTTTTCTACAAAAGAGAAGGAAATCACAATGCAAGGAGTCTAAATACTCTGAGGAAAGGCCATGAGAGGCAGGATTTGAACCCCTGACAAGAATGACTGCACAGCAGGAATTTGTACTCTGAAAACTATACTGCCTCCATATTACTCTTCAGTAATCTTTTTTTTAATATTTATTTATTTATTTATTTATTTATACAAGAACTGGGGTACAGGTCAGAAGCACAGGAGGGTGAGAGAAATCACCAGAGTCAGAGCGGGGAGCAGAACAGGCGGACTGACAAAATACACTGCTGAGGGGAGCAGCGGGCACGGCAGGAGAGGTCTGCAGGCCATGTGGGACATTCGCTGACGGCGGGATCAAACCGGCGCTGCAGAGGCTGCAGACAGCTTTGCAGCGCTGCGCTCAGCCGCTGCGCCACTGGGTAGGCCCTACTCTTCAGTAATTTTCACCTTCCTCCCAACAATTGACTGCATAGTATAAGATAATCTCTCCCCCATGTCTGTGCCTTTGGGTGGCAAAGCAGAAAGAGCTTGAGTTGTATATTCTAACTTGCATTAAATCTTGTTCCACTATTGTTTCCTAAATTAGTTATTTCTTTGTCTATAAAAAGGGGGAAAGTCATACCTCAGAAAGCTGTTATGAAGATTGAGATAGCATATGTGAAAGTGCTTAGAATAGTGCTTGGCAAATAATAGATGTTTAATAAATATTGGTTTCCTTTCTTCCTTCCTTTGCCAGACAAAAGTCATTCTTCCTTACTAAGTCAGTTTGCATGAAAATATTTCCATGGCTCTCAGTTTATCACAGAATCCTAGAAAATATGCTCACCTAGATCAAGTGACCCTTAGGCATGGGGATTCAGAGGTTTGAAATCCCCCACGTTAGGCAGGGTTTGCTGTGGGAAGTCAAGATAGAAGTGAATGGAACTTGATGTTTTCATTCTCCCTTTTCTGAATTTGGGCAGGCTTTTTATAGTCTTGTAATTTCTATGACTCTTAATTCCCTTTCATTGCTCCTGTATAACCTGCCCCCATTGCAAAATACATTTTGTACAACTGATCCCCAACTCAACAGTTTATCTGCGCGTTCTCAAAAATGCCTTATCATTTCCTGCTCCCACATTTTTTTCTCCTGCCAGTTTCTTTCTCTGAAATAACCATCTACCAAAATTTATCTACTAAACTATTACCATAAATGCCTAACACAAATGTCTCCTACTTCAGAACTCTGCTCTGACCACTCTCAAAGGAGGAGACCTAGCCTTCTATTAAACCATGTACATCACTCAATTCACAGGTTGCAGAGACTTTTGTCTTTGGGGCTGCAAAGGGTACTGAGTGGAATCATGTTTTAAAATGGCACCTGATTAGAAATCTATTGAGCACCCACTCCCAATTTTTTAACTAAAATTTCTATGAAGCCAATAAAAAATGACTTCTCATAAATATACTTGAAACTAAGACTAACAAATATCCTATTATCAGGACCAGAAAGGAATGTCTGTCAATTTGAAGACCAGAACTAGATTGAGAAATTTTAGAAAACTGCTTTTCCACCAAAAATAGATTAAAATTCTTGGTCTAAAAGTAGAACTATTCTTTATTCCTCTTCAACTCATTACCTCCTACTCAGAAATATAGGAACCCTGTCAATCACCCCAATAACCACTAAAATAGTAATAAATGAATAAAAGGAGGGAGCAAGCATTCTTCTATCAGATGGGTGGTATTTTATTGGATATCCTGAATACTATTGCCATAATACCTAACACAGTGACCCAAAAGAGTTAAAAGTAATATGAACTAGAAAAAATGTTTCGAGAACATGCAAGAAATGTTTATCAGGTATGTCAGCATTAGTTTTGAAAAGTCAGCTGTGAAGTCAGATATAAAAGTAGTGGGAAAGTATTTAATATTGATAAAATTTACAATGAAGATATAATTATGCATCTCTTCAAATAATACAATAGCAGAAATATATGAAGTAAAAAACATAAGAAATCTAAGGAAAAATAATGAGCCAATTTGGTGATGCAAGACTCATAATCTTATCTCAGGCTTTAACAAAACAAGCAGGAAAAAGGCTAGGAAAAAAACAGATTGGAATAAAATTTTAATAATATATAATAAAAGAAATAAGATGATATATAAGTAGATATGTAGATAATCAAACTAGTTGTTGGAAACAATATCTATAAAATATTTAGAAAATGTATTATTTGTCTCAAAGAAAGAATAAGGATACTGCAAACATTAGAAGTCCAGTCATTTTCTGATTCTTCATGTAATGTAACTAGAAATAAATACAGAAAATAAATTGGCAAACACTTGAATTACCATCTAATTAAAACTACAACTACAGACCATTTAAAAATAAACAAAAATCAGATTATATTCTAACCATAGAATGGCACCAAAGCTGCAAACAGAGAATGATTTATAGGAGTAAAGAACTGATATATTTTGTTTCATGGCTTTTTTTTTTTTTTTGGTATGTTCTACTAATTTCCCACTGTTTAGAATGAAGCACTAGTCACTTAAATATTTCTTGATGTAGTACTCCCTAATAAGCATGCAAAATATCACTTAAAGAAAATAATTTGCAGGGCTAGATAGATTTCTATTCATCCAATCTTTACTCACTTTTGTTTTGACCAGTTTTTCCCTGGTTCTCCATTTCCTTGGATGCCAATCACTTGGCACCATGCTTGATCACTTAACATATACCAAAAACCCCTTTCAGTTTGACAAATTTTGTGAATAAAATCTCTGACTTTGACCCTCAGTCTTGTACATACAATTTTATAGTTACTCCCTGGTTCCACACAGCTAATGCTACTGGTAAGAGGCACTCACACCTTCTAACCCAGACAACAGGGCCTTTATGAGTTGAAAGAATCCCATCTTGCCTCCCACCAAAAGAAAGAAAATTACAGAAGAAATAGGAACTGTAACTCCTTAGAGTGGTCCCTGTGGTGCCTTATCAGTTTATCACACAATTAAATAAATATATGCAAATACACTCTTACCTGCATATACACATTTATGTAGAAGTGGAGGATACAAAGGCTAGCTAAGGATTCACTCAAAAGTTATAAAAACTATACCTTTTTAACTTCTAAATTCTATTTTAATGACAATAATTTGAATTGCTTTTCCCTCTGAGCTTGCTGGACTCCTACACATATATGTAAATAAAGATGGTTTATGTCACATCTAATTTCTCAGTCAAATGTAATGTTTACTTTTCTTAAATGTTTCACTTAGAATTATTAGGTATTCTATTATTTCTTTTTTTTTTTCAAGATTTATTTTTATTTATTTATACAAGCACTGGATACAGTCAGAAGTGCGGGAGGGTGAGAGAATTCACCAGAGCCAGAGCAGGGAGCAGAGCAGGCAGAGGGACCAAAGTACACTGCTGAGGGGAGCAGCGGGCGGCAGGAGAGGTCTGCTATGTGGGACCCTCCTCCGGTGGCCGGGGAGCAGCCGGGGATCGAACTGGCACTGCAGAGGCTGCAGGGAGCTTCGCAACCCAGCGCTCAACCTCTGCGCCACCAGGGAGGCCCTCTATTATTTCTATAACACACATATTTATTAATAAATTGAAATTCATTCTCTCAGCTTGGATTTCTAGCAAGATTGCCAATTTCCTGGAAATAAACTCTGGGTAGTTGCTATAGTCAACTGTAGTACAATAAGAAAAAAAGACATCTGTGCCTTATTTCATTGAATTGTGTTTATTTAAAGAAAGATGAGTCTTTATGATCAAAATAATTCATGTGGCATTGAATCCTAATACCCTTCTTCTCCAATGTAGACGAGGGTCCAACGTATCTCTTACATTGGACATGACTAGCTTGGGGAATGTTGAACCCTTTGTGGCTATACCAACCCCACGGGAGAAAGTAGCAATGGAGTACCTGCAGTCAGCCAGCCGGATTCTCACAAAGTCACAGCTGAGGGACGTCGTGGCAAGTTCACATTTACTCCAAAGTGAATTCATGGTGAGCCTGCTATTTATGATTCATTCTTCAGTCGGTACTTTGATTTACTAGGAACTAGAGGCTCATACTAAAATGACACTGTGCTCCACTTCTGCAGTTTATAATAAACAGGGGATCAATTTGGATGCATTTTTTTAAAAAGATTTATTTATTTATACAAGAACTGGGGTACAGGCCAGAGGCACGGGAGGGTGAGAAAACACTCAGGGTGACAGAGCAGGGAGCAGAACAGGCAGATGGACTGAAAACACTGCTGAGGGGAGCAGTGGGCAAGACAGAAGAGGTCTGCCGTGCCATGCGGGTAGCTCCCTGGCTGGCCAGGAATCAAACCAACGCTGCAGAGGCTGTAGACAGCTTTACAGTGCTGCACTCAACCCACTGCGCCACTGGGGAGGCCCTTGCATGCATTAGTTTTAGATCCACTCTCCAGCTATTGATAGATAAGTAGTCAAACCAGAGGAAAGAGGTAAATTCAGGCAGAGTATGTCGGAGACAGCCAGGCAAAGATGTGTCAAGAAAAGAAGCTGGTTAGAGAAGAGGCATTTCAGGAAGACAGAACATCCTTGCTGTCTGTTTGGGGCATTAAATTGTTCAGTTTGGGAAGTGGCAACTGTTGAACTGTTTTTATACCTCAGGGGTATGAAAAATCTGAGTCTTACTATCTGTAAGTGTTCAACTTTATCTTGTATTCTAAAAAGATCACTCTCTCTGTGGGGAAGTTAGCATTAGAAAAGGATATTACAAAGGTTCTGGGAGAGAATTCTGTGGAACTGTGCTGGTGGTCTAAAATAAGATAGTAACAGTGAAATGAGGAGGAGCTACTAGAATCCACAAGGAGTGGGGCTTATTAGGTGAAGCAGACAAAAAAAAAGAAGTCATGGATGATACCCTAGTTGTTTGCTGTTTTTTTTCTTTTACTGTCTAATGAAATAAAATACACTTTAATTAAATAAAAAACACAGGACGAAAGCCAAGTATAGCTTAAAAATGAGGGTGAGTTTCAGCTAAAAATCATGGTTATCCATCATTATTGCTTATGATAGCTGAATGCATGAAAACACATTTCTACCCAGAGAGCAGGGAAACAGATTAAACCTACTTCCTAAGTCATATATATTGAGTATAACAAATTGGCCATTCTAGGGTCAGTTAAGATATTTACAACCACCCTAATGGTAAAAGGTCCAGCAGGGGTTGACCCATTAGCTTCATCAGCTATTATTGTGTCCAAAGTAAATTGCATGCATACCATTGTAATAATTAGACGGTGTGGTGTGTCATTTTTTTTTAATGTGAAGCAAATGAGATATTTTTCAATAGATGAGGAAAATGACAGATAAAAGAAATGGTCAATTATTGCACAGTTAGCCGAAGTCACACCTAGATTTTTTCTAAAACTACAGATAGATCTTTGTTTTATGAGCTAAACCCTAACCAGTCGACTTCCCTGTAAGGAGCAATGAGGCCAAGAAGAAGTCCCAAAGAGAAAGATAATGCTGGAAGATGACATATTGTCAATGTGTGACATAGAGCAAAAAGAAGCAAGGGAAAATAAAGATATTACCTACTTCATGACTTTCACAATGCAGATTAATCCTTGTGAAATTACCAACCATGAATATATGGTTTATTTTGAACAATTCAACAGTTTTGCTTATATTAGTAACTTGGACCTGAGAATTTAGAATGTTTCATTGGAGTGGAGATTAGAAATGAATATCTAAAATAATGAATATCCAAAATAAATATCTAAAATAATACAAGGTTAGGGAAAAAAAACTATACTGTAGACCAAGTCTAAAATTTATATGTCTGACTCCTCCAATTTTCAGATTGTCTATGAACTGGGACCATTTGATTTAATTTATAGATAATTTCTTTCACTTCACTAAATAGGAAGCTGTGGTGGTCTATTTTTCATTGGAAAACATTTAAGTAAGAAAAATATTTGCTATGTCGAAGGATACAAGTTATTTTATTTCATATTAACCTCATCTAAGCAATTCTTTGCAGAATTTTAAGTTAAAGGACATACTATTTTATATAATCAAATCCTGAAATATTTGTGTGGACCTTTAAGAAGACTGCTTAGCATTTCCTTTGTCCCAGCCTGGTAGGGGTGCTCACCTTTTTTTTTTTTTTTTTTTACACCTAATGCACTTCCCTAGTGTCACTTCTGCTATAATTGTTCTCTCTCCAGACATTGTGGTACAGACATATATTCTGACTAAATAAAACATTTACATCCTTGTTAGGTGGGAGAAAATAGCATCTGGATGTCCATCATTAAAAATACTTCTTTTGTGTATATGTACCACATCTTCTTGATCCAGTCATCTATTTTGGGGCACTTGGGTTGTTTCCAATTACTCAGCAATCAAAAAAGATAAACTCATGCAATTTGCAGCAACATGGATGGAGCTGGAAGGGATCATGTTCTGTGAAATAAGCCATAAAGAGAAAGAAAAATACCGAATGGTCTCACTCATAGCAGGAATTTAGAAAACCTAAATAAGGGGCCAGGAAAAAAGACTAATTATAATAAAGTAAAAATCAAAATCAACAAGTAACTATAAACCGGAGACACACTGGGGGGTAGGGGGGAAAGGGGAGTAGGATCAAAACAAGGGGGTGGGAATTGTATGGGGACTATAACCAAGATGAAAATGCATACATTGTGCAAAAATGAAAAATAATGTAAAAATATATAAAATTAAAAAAAATACTGCTTTTACAACCATAAAGGGAAAAATATTATCACAGGCCATTTCTTAATACAAAAGAGCATATCATCATCTCTTGAATCAACAACGAAATTCCCTTTGTATTTACCATATGGAGAGGGAAGATTTAATAATCTTAAGAGAGTCATGATTAATGTTAAATGAGAATCCATCAGGGTGAAAGTTTTGGCACTGGTCATACATAAAGATCTGAGAAATTTTGAATACATTGTTAAAAAATTCAATATCTTAGCTGCCTGTTTATATATTTCCAGCGGTTATTTTAGAAGAGGAATTTTGAAATCTAACTAAAGTTTTATATGTCTTTTTAATTGCTGCATATAGAACAAAACTTTCTGACACAGAGAGCTGTTTCTTAGAGTTAGCCTGTCAGGATGCAGTTGATATGTTTATGAAAGGAAGGGTGTTGGTCAACCAGAGGTGGCAATCTGTTGCTTTATAAATGACTTTGAAGTGCAATAGTGTTCTGGTTCAGATGGCCCCCTGTGAAGATTTTCTTTGGGCAGCATTAGATGCACTAATTTGATCTCATTTATTTTTGCAGGAAATTCCAATGAACTTTGTGGATCCCAAGGAAATTGACATTCCACGTCATGGAACTAAAAATCGCTATAAGACCATTTTGCCTAGTAAGTTTCTTGAATTAAATAGCTTGTATTAGAAAATGCAAGCCTTCCCCCTACCTCACTATTTCCCAGTCTCATAACATGCAGATATACATAAAATTTAGAGCTACAAAACCATATAAGACTAATAATCATTCAAGTGACCTGAGGTTAGTAACTTTACCTTATAACATTATACTGATTAGTTGACAATTCTAGTACACACCAAGTTCTAAAAGATTATTGTGACACACATTTATGGTCAATTGATTTTTGTCAAGGGTGTCAAACAATTCAATGGGGAAATGATACTTTTTGATAGATGGCACTGAGACAATTGGATAGCAACATGCAAAAAATTAAATTGACTCTGCCTCATCCCACATAAAAAAGTTAATTCAAAATGGATCAAAGACTTAAATATAAGAGATGAAATTATGCAGCTCTTAGTATGAATCAGATGTAAAATCATCATGACTTTGAATTAATCAATTATTTCTTAGAAATGCCACCAAAAGTATAAGCAACAAAAGAAAAAAATAAATTGGACTTCATTAAAATTAAAAACTTTTATCCCTCAAAGGACACCATCATAAAATAGACAACTCACAAGCTGGGAGGATATTTGTAAAGGGATTTATTGTATCTTAAATATGTAAAGGACTCTTACAGTTCAACAATATAAAAACAAATAACATAAATTAAAAATGGGCAAAGGACTCAAATATTTTGGGGAGGAAGTAACACTGTCAATGAATGACTAAACAACCCAATATAGGGTTTTGGCAAAATACACAAACGTCTCCAGGCAATAGCTATGGAAAGATGGAGTCACAAATTATTTTTCCCTCTATTAACTGAAACAGTGAAGTCTTCACAAGTCAATCCATTAATTCCTTAATAAGACAGCAAATGTTTCATATTTATGGTAATATTAAGAATTACTGTTTTTTTAAAGATTTATTTATTTATGCATACAAGAACTGGTATACAGGCCAGAAGATACAGGCCTCTGGTGAGAGGATCCACCAGAGACAGCAGGCAAGACAGAAGTCTGCTGCGCCATGTGGGTGTCTCCCTGGTCAGGGATCGAACTCATGCTGCAGAGGGTGCAGATAGATTCACAGTGGTGAAGGTTAACCCTTTGCACCACCAGGGAGGTCCCAAGAGTTACTGTTAATGATGTTTTCAGGCTTCTTTTCTGGTGCTGTTGGAAATACATCATTAAAGATCACTAACACATATTTTTTTTATTTAGTCAATTTTTTTAAAATTTTTTACATCATTGTTCATTTTTAAACAATATTTGCTTCCCCCCACCCCCTCAGGTGTAGTCCCCATAGAGTTTCCCTCACCAATGTACCCATGCACCATCACCTCAGTCCCCTGTGCTCCTCCCTCCCTCCCTCTGATCCCTCTCCCACCTCCTCCCCTGCAGTATGTCTCTGGTTTGTAACTGTTTTTGCTTTGTTGTGTTTTGTACTGTTATTATTTTTTTACACTGATGTCTTATTTGGTTCCCCTATATTCCTGCTATAAGTGAAACCATCCGATATTTTTCTTTTTCCTTCTGGCTTGTTTCACTGAGCATAATTCCTTCTAGTTCAATCCATGTTGCTGCAAATGGCATGAGTTTATCTTTTTGATTGCTAAATAATATTCCATTGTGTATATATGCCACATCTTGATCCAGTCATCTATTTTTGGGCATTTGGGTTGTTTCCAGGTTTTACCTATTGTAAATAGTGCTACAATAAGCATAGGAGTACAGGTAGTCTTTTGAATCACTGTTTTTTGTTTCCTTTGGGTATCTCCCTATGAATGGAATTGCTAGGACATATGATAGCTCTGTTTTTAGTAGACTGAGGAACCTCCAGACAGCTTTCCATAGTGGTTGGATCAGTTTGCACTCCCACCAGCAATGCAGGAGAGTTCCTTTTTCACCATTGCTTGTTTTTTTGATAGGTGCCATTCTTACTGGTGTAAGGTGGTATCTCAATGTGGTTTTAATTTCATTTCCCTGATTAGAAGGAATGTTGAACATTTTTTCATATGCCTGTTGGCCATTTGCATTTCCTCTTGGGAGAAATGTCTTTTAAGTTCTTCTGCCCATTTCTTGACAGGATTGTTTATTTTGTTTTGTTGAGCCGTGTGAGTTCTTTGTATATCTTTGTAATCAGGCCCTTATCCATTGAATGGAGTGCAAAGATTTTTTCCCAATCAGTGGGGTGTCTCTCTGTTTTAGTTAATGTCTCTTTGGCTGTGCAGAAGCTTTTCAGTTTGATGTAATCCCATGTGTTTATCTTTTCCTTGACTTTCTTTGCTTCAGGTGATGAGTCTTTAAAGATGTTATTACAATGTATGTCTTGTAGTGTTTTACATATATTTTCTTCTATATATTTTATGGTTTCAGGTCTTATGTCCAGTTCTTTTAACCATTTTGAATTGATTTTTGTGCACGGTGAAAGGTAATGGTCTAGTTTCATTTTTATTGTGTGTGGTAGTCCAGTTTTCCTAGCACCATTTATTGACCAAACTGTCTGTGTTCCATTGCATGTTTTTTGCTCCTTTGTCAAAGATCAGTTGTCCATATAAGTGTGGCTTTATTTCTGGCTCTCTATTCAGTTCCATTGGTCTGTGTGGCTGTTTTTGTTCCAATACTGAACTGTTTTAATTATTATGGCTTTGTAGTATAGCTTGAAGTTTGGAAGAGTGATACCTCCTTCCTCCTTTGTTTTCATCAGTAGGGCTTTGGCTATTCATGGTTTTTTGTGGTTCCATATGAATTTCATCAGTATTTGTTCTATTTCTTTGAAGAATGTCATTGAGATTTTTATTGGAATAGTGTTGAATCTGTATATTGCTTTTAGTAGGATGGACATTTTAATAATGTTAATTCTTAAAATCCATGAGCAGGGGATGTCTTTCAATTTCTTTGTGTCTTCTTCTATTTCCTTTAATGGTGTTTTATAATTTTCTTTGTATAGGCCTTTCACCTCTTTTGTTAGTTTTATTCCCAAGTATTTGATTTTTTTGTTTCAATTGTAAAAGGGATGGTTTTCTTGATTTCTTCTTCTTCAGATTGATTGTGTATAGCAAGGCTACTGACTTTTGTGACTAACACATATTTTTAATTAGTTAATTCTCTTTACCCAAGGTTTATTCACAATTGAAAAATTTTAATAGCCATAACTGACTGAAGGGAAGGGAAAAAAGAAAGTACTATATATTAGAACTGGTGCTTCTCTATCTCTCTCTTTCTCTTTGTCTCTTAAGATTTCTCAACTAAGTTTTACTAAGCATAATATAATAATGCCATATACATCCATTACAATTATCATATTTATGCATGCAATCTCAGAAGGATTTGGAAATTACTAGGATTATTTTAAAAGTTTAGTTTTTTCTATTTCCTGCCCAGATGATATCAGGCAACCACTTCGTAGTCCTGTGTCAGCTTTTCCATTCCCAGAACTGGGCGGTTCACTTGAACCAGGGCACCTGTGCTGACAGCTGATGTTGGAAATGATGGATTTTCTATTGAAAATGTCTGTCCTGAATACTCCACCCAATCTCCATTGCATAAAATATAATTTTGTAAATATAGCCTGAACAAGCCGCCCCATTGATTGAAAATCATCAGAGAGGACTGGAATGAATATGCAAACCTGTTCCTTATGTTTTATTTTAGGCTATAATATGAGTTAATTACAAAAATAATGAGCAAATAATTAAGATTTAAGTATTGTGATTGTTTTTGTTGTTAAAGTCCACAGTAAACCTTACAGTGACCTTGGGAGGTCACTTAATTTGAGGGTTTCTGGCAGTAGAAATGGATGGCCTAGAACCAATTAAATTATAGCTGGTTCTCTAAGGACAGTGTCAGTCTGGCTCAGAACACTCTCAGTGATAGATCAAAGTGCTAACTAAGTGGAAGATTAAAGTACTAACAAATTATTTTGAAATATATAAACAGATATTAGTTGTGAAACTGTCTCTGTGTCCTAAATTAAATCAATGAGAAAAATAAGCAATTGTAGGGTAAGGAAAAATGTCAGGCTTTTCTGCCCTCCTACCATTAGGATAGATGATGGATCCTTGCAGTCCTGAATGCATGCCTGATGGCGGGCACCTGGAATAGGGTGGGGGGCATAGGTAGATGGGATTCACCTGGGCTGAGACTGGGCTTTTAAGAGCGGCGTCATGGGGACGCCAGGAGAAGCCAAAGGAGAAGCCGAGAAAGAAGCAGCAGAAGCCGAGAGAGAAGCAGAGAACACCGGAGAACCCAGATAGAGTGAAGACTTGCTGGGGGCTGGGAGGACTGCCAGCCTCCCGGCCCCCAAGCACCCTTGCCTTTGTACCAGGTAAATCCCAATAAAAACCTGCAAAAAGTCACTGAGGACTCTGACTCCTTGTAGGGTAAAGAAAATATCAGGCTTTTCTGCCCTTCCGCCATCAGGATAGATGATGGATCCTTGTCCTGAATGCATGCCTGATGGTGGGCACCTGGAATAGGGTGTGGGCATAGGTAGATGGGATTCAGCTGAGCTAAGACTGTGCTTTTAAGGGCGGCGTCACGGGGGACGCCAGCAGCACCAGCACCAGCAGCAGCAGCAGCCGCAGCGCAGCCGAAGCCGAGAAGCAGCAGAACGAACGCTAGAGAGCCCAGATAGAGTGAGGACTTGCTGGGGGCTGGGAGGCCTGCCAGCCTCCCGGCCCCCAGCCAGCACCCCTGCCTGCCATATGCCTGGTGAACCCAAATAAAAAACCTGCAAAACTACTGAGGACTTTGACTCCTCCTTTACCCGATCTGCATGGGATCAGAAAACCTGCCTTGTGCCATGTCCTGCCTTTACAATTGGCGTAAGTCGGCAAGATCCATGTAGACGGGTATTGGAGCCCTCCGAAGACCTGGAGGGACTAAGGAGAACAGACTTTGCCTGTGACGACGCTGGAGGCACCATGGCGGTATAGAAGATGGATACGTCCACGAGCTACAGGATGAGACCTGGCGTGAAGGAGAC